ACTCACCACCATCACTACCTTCACCTTCACTCACTACCATCACCTTCACTCACTACCATCACCTTCACTCACTACCATCACCTTCACTCACCATCACCACTTTCACTCACCATCACCTTCACTCACCATCATCACCTCCTTCACTCGCCACCATCACCAGCTTCACTCACCATCACCATCTTCACTCACCATCACTACCTTCACTCCCTATCACCACCTTCACTCACTATCACCACCTTCACTCACCACCATCACTACCTTCATTCACCATCACTACCTTCACTCACCATCACCACCTTCACTCACTATCACCACCTTCACTATCACCACCTTCACTCACCACGATCACTACCTTCACTCACCATCACCACCTTCACTCACCATCACCACCTTCACTCACTATCACCACCTTCACTATCACCACCTTCACTCACCACGATCACTACCTTCACTCACCATCACCACCTTCACTCTCTATCACCACCTTCACTCACCACCATCACCTTCACTAACCACCTTCATTCACCATCACCACCACCTTCATTCACCATCACCACCTTCACTCAACATCACCACCTTCACTCAACATACCTTCACTCACCATCACCACCTTCACTCAACATACCTTCACTCACCATCACCACCTTCACTCAACATACCTTCACTCACCATCACCACCTTCACAACACCATCACCACCTTCACTAACCACCATCACCACCTTCACTAACCACCATCCCCTTCACTAACCACCATCACCACCTTCACTAACCACCATCACCACCTTCACTAACCACCATCACCACCTTCACTAACCACCATCACTGCCTTCACTCACCATCACCACCTTCACTAACCACCATCACCACCTTCACTAACCACCATCACCACCTTCACTGACCACCATCACCACCTTCACACTAACCACCATCACCACCTTCACTAACCACCATCACCACCTTCACTAACCACCATCACCACCTTCACTAACCACCATCACCACCTTCACTAACCACCATCACTGCCTATCACTCACCATCACCACCTTCACTAACCACCATCACCACCTTCACTAACCACCATCACCACCTTCACTAACCACACATCACCACCTTCACTAACCACCATCACCACCTTCACTGACCACCATCACCACCTTCACTAACCACCATCACCACCTTCACTAACCACCATCACAACCTTCACTGACCACCATCACCACCTTCACTAACCACCATCACCACCTTCACTAACCACCATCACAACCTTCACTAACCACCATCACCACCTTCACTAACCACCATCACCACCTTCACTAACCACCATCACAACCTTCACTGACCACCATCACCACCTTCACTAACCACCATCACCACCTTCACTAACCACCATCACAACCTTCACTAACCACCATCACCACCTTCACTAACCACCATCACCACCTTCACTAACCACCATCACCACCTTCACCACATCACACTTCTCCACCATCACCACTTCACTAACCCCATCACTCCTTCACACCATCACCACCTTCACTAACCACCATCACCACCTTCACTAACCACCATCACTCCCTTCACTCACCATCACCACCTTCACTAACCACCATCACCACCTTCACTAACCACCATCACCACCTTTATTAACCACCATCATCACCTTCACTAACCTCATCACCACCTTCACTAACACCATCACCACCTTCACTCACGATCACACCTTCACTCACGATCACCACCTTCACTCACCATCACCACCTTCACTCACCATCATCACCTTCAACTCACCATCATCACCTTCCACCTCACCCCTCACCACCTTCACCCTCACCATCATCACCATTCACTCACCATCACCACCTTCACTCACCATCACCACCTTCACTCACCATCACCACCTCCTCACCATCACCACCCACCTCTACCATCACCACCTTCACTAACCACCATCATCACCTTCACTAACCACCATCACCACCTTCACTAACCATCACCACCTTCACTCACCATCACCACCTTCACTCACCATCACCTCACTCACTGTCACCACCTCACTCACCATCACACCTTACATACACATCACCACTTCACTAACCACATCACCACCTTCACTAACCACCATCACCACCTTCACTAACCACCACCACCACCTTCACTAACCACCACTACCACCTTCACTCACCATCACTCATAACTTCCACCACTCTCCCACCAGTGAGTGTTACATAATAACTGATGAACTACTAAACTGTTTACAATATAATTGTGAATAAATATAGAGAATGTTTTTTTTTTTTGGGTGACAGGAGATGTGAGCGTGCAGCAAGACAATAACAAACTGACCCAGGCTGACTGGGTCAGCAGGCACTCTTACAATGATGATGGACCTAGCAGACCTAGTCCACTTTATCACCATTGTACGTCCGGACTGGACAGCCCTCTGATATAGCAGATTTGGTCTGCTTCATGGCTATTGTAATCGGACACCCTTATTAACCCTTTGACTGTTTCAGGCCCCTCTCTGAAACTGTCATTCTATGTCGCTCAATTTTTGAAAAAAAAAAAAAATTATTTTTTCTTATAGAGAATCTTTTCCCGATGGTAATGACACCAAAAGTTCGAAATTTGGTCGAAAACTCGTGGAATTATGCTCCCGCGAAGTTAGCTGTCTCGGCGACATATGCGTATCGGCGATTTCGCCGACTTTGAGCCCTATTTTCAGCCAATTCCATTGTTCCAGTTGACCAAACTCATAGCTATTTCTTTAGAACTCCATTTTATCTATCAGCTGAGTACAAGAAACCTCCCATTTACTAATTTGGACTACCCAATATAGTGGTCAGAAATTGGCAATTTGGCCAATTTCACGCAAAATAAAAAAGATGCCAATTTCAAAATAGGGTCCAGAATAAACAAGGTAGACATTCGTGGCACTAAAATAACATATGATCTGTTCATTAGTCACATCTCTAGGCCCCTCTTATATTATTATTGCTTTCTATTTTGATTTTTTATTCATACAAAAAAATACAAAATTTACTGTTATGCAGACGACTGCATTATTGTAAAAATGGTATAAATAATATCAGTGCACTAGTGAAAGAATATTAGACTCCCCAGTTGACGTGTATTGGTCGTGTGGTGTGATTTATTTACTCTTGAACATTGGTAAAAATCGAACATTTCCGCTACTTTGAGCTCAGTTTCAAGGTCGTTTTCATCGTAAAAGTAATGAAAATCATCTCTATTTCTGTAATATGTTTTCCATTTTATCACCTAAGACCATGAAAACGCGAATACAATGATAAATACTATACGAAAATACACCTCAAAGTCGGCGTTTTATTCCAAAAAAACGATCAGAGTTTTTTTTTTCTCATTACGCAATGTGTGCTGCAGGATTTTTTTTATGTGGTGCACACTGACCACACAGACCCATTCTCTCACATGTGGGCCTACCAGCTTTCTCCCACTTGATTTGAAGCCGCTAGAATTATTGAGTATATATACGTCAGAAACATTGGCTCGTAAGACGTATTTATACGTCGAAAACAGTCAAAGGGTTAAGAGGACATGTTGAGTCTTTGGCCATTTTTTTCTTTTATGTTTTAGCCAACATCTGCTTTATGGTGGTATGGGTACAAAACATATGATCCATAAAAAAATTAGGAAAACTGGAAAAATCATAAAAAAAAAAAAAATTATTAAAACAGCAGCTTCCTTCAGGTGGCAAGCTCTTGTGTTGCCATAAAACATGTACCATCATTTTGTAAGCTTCTGATCTCCATGACTAATAATAAAATTTATTTCATTTTTGTCTCATTACACTTCTAAAATCAGCAAAAAATTTTAAAAATAAAAATTCAAAATTGCTGGCCTTGGGAAGCACATTTATTTTAGACCTTCTTATGAATGTCATTGGTAACCAGTTTAGATATTGTTCAAACATCCAGTGAGTCTGTGATATTGTTCAAACATCCAGTGAGTCTGTGATATTGTTCAAACATCCAGTGAGTCTGTGATATTGTTCAAACATCCAGTGAGTCTGTGATATTGTTCAAACATCCAGTGAGTCTGTGATATTGTTCAAACATCCAATGAGTCTGTGATATTGTTCAAATATCCAGTGAGTCTGTGATATTGTTATAATATCCACTGAGTCTGTGATATTGTTCAAACATCCAGTGAGTGTTATAGTGTTCAAACATCCAGTGAGTGTGTTATAGTGTTCAAACATCCAGTGAGTGTGTTATAGTGTTCAAACATCCAGTGAGTGTGTTATAGTGTTCAAACATCCAGTGAGTGTGTTATAGTGTTCAAATATCCAGTGAGTCTGTTATAGTGTTCAAACATCCAGTGAGTCTGTTATAGTGTTCAAACATCCAGTGAGTCTGTTATAGTGTTCAAACATCCAGTGAGTGTGTTATAGTGTTCAAACATCCAGTGAGTCTGTGATAGTGTTCAAACATCCAGTGAGTGTGTTATAGTGTTCAAACATCCAGTGAGTCTGTGATATTGTTCAAACATCCAGTGAGTCTGTTATAGCATTCAAACATCCAGTGAGTCTGTTATAGTGTTCAAACATCCAGTCAGTCTGTGATATCTGCCAGACGTTGAAGAAACTGATGCTAATCGAGTAGGGAAATTTACATCATTGAATTAGGTCATTAAGAGAGATGAAGCTGACCATTAACCTGAGAAATGGTCCTTGTTTTTTATTATTTCCAGTAATCAAACATTGGTTAAGCAATGGATAACCATCTTGACATATTTTTTATTTGGGCTTCTTGATGTATGACATATAATTTTCCCAGTCATCTTATTTGATGTATTATTGTCACACTCAGGTATCCCTCTGATCCTCCATGGTAGAGCACAGTGGTCCTCTACAAGGAGCAACACACTGCAGATCAAGGAATTTTTTGCATATAAAATTAGAAGCAGGAGAATATTTAAATGCATTTTTATTAGGAACTAAATATATACTTTTCTTCCGTAGGTAAGTTCCCTGGATATGTCCAAGACGTTGATGGACTATAAGCTGTATCCACAGGAAACCCTCAACATAGAAGAACGATAAAGGGTTGTGTGTAGTGTGTTTACCCTGGGAGTGAAAGGTATGTGTGGCCAAGTCTACACTTGTAGTCTACCACACTTGCCACATGTGAATATAAAAAATCAAGTCCAAGAGCAGGTTGAGCTCTAAGGACATCCAAATAAAGTCTCCAGTTGTGTTGTAAAGCAGAAAATTTTAATAAGATGTTACTTTATGTATCTACTAGACAAGGGTGGACTTGTAAGACTTGTTACATTAAAAAACGACTTTACAATTTTCAGACTATTCTCAGTGAGTTCATATCTTTTTGGCAAGTCTGAGTATAGCATTAAGTTAATGGAAATTCTGTTATATCTGTATACTCATTCATTTTTTTACAAACTATAAATAATAATGAAAATTGAGCCATGATTTGTAAGGGCACTATTGAAAATGTAGCCATATATCCTAAACACATGGCTTCCTATATTTTAAAAGTGTCAACATATGGTGCAGACTCACCAAATAACACAAATTGTTGTGATAAAAATATAGGAGAAAAGCATTACTGTATTTAATTCCAGTCAGTTTAGTACTGTCATATGCTGTGTAGAAAATTCCTTTACAAAGTTATTTTATGAAAATCATGTCTCAACTGTATGAATATATCATGTTTTATACACCAATTATTTTATTTCTTGACACAACTAGTTTATAAGAGGAAACAAATGAAGTTCTGAAGTGACTGGTGAGGATAGTACAGGTCTTGTATTGAGGAGGCAACCTTGATATTGAAGTATGGTGGGGTTCATTAGACAGGAGATGGTAGCGAAGAAAACACCAGTGAACAGTTATAAGAACAATTTAATGATAGTATTTGTGAAAATGGATATAAGTCTGGTAGTGGTGAATAATATTCTTCAGAGGATATCTGTCTTTATTGAGTTCTTGAATACAGGCAGTGTGTCTAAGGCATGCCCTGGTGGCAAGCCAGGCCCCCAGCCTGAGAGAGAGGGGAGGAACCTGTTGTCTGCAGGGCAAGTGAGGACAATACTAGGTGCCACAGGATAAGCTGAAGGTAGGCCTACAGCCACTAGGCAGTAGCACAGGTCTGTGGGCACAGCTCCCCTAGCAGTAGTCATGGGAAACAGGAATAGGGTAGGCATATCCTTCTACATCGCTCGGATCACACTACCCAGTGGTCGACCTCAACCATGTCAAGTGACAGAATAAAACTTGGTCTCTCTTGCAGGAACAGGGCACAAGCATTATGTGTGTGTATATATATATATATATATATATATATATATTATATATATATATATATATATATATATATATATATATATATATATATATATATATATATATATATATAGGTAGTAGGTTGGTAGACAGCAACCGCCCAGGGAGGTACTACCGTCCTGCCAAGTGAGTGTAAAACGAAAGCCTGTAATTGTTTTACATGATGGTAGGATTGCTGGTGTCCTTTTTTCTGTCTCATGAACATGCAAGATTTCAGGTACGTCTTGCTACTTCTACTCACACTTAGGTCACACTACACATACATGTACAAGCACATATATACACACCCCTCTGGGTTTTCTTCTATTTTCTTTCTAGTTCTTATTCTTGTTTATTTCCTCTTATCTCCATGGGGAAGTGGAACAGAATTCTTCCTCCGTAAGCCATGCGTGTTGTAAGAGGCGACTAAAATGCCAGGAGCAAGGGGCTAGTAACCTCTTCTCCTGTATATATTACTAAATGTAAAAGGAGAAACTTTCGTTTTTCCTTTTGGGCACCCGCCTCGGTGGGATACGGCCGGTGTGTTGAAGAAAGAGAATATATATATATTATATATATATATATATATATTCTTTCTTTTCTTCTTTCAACGTACCAGCCGTATCCCACTGAGGTGGGGTGGCCCAAAAGAAACAACTGAAGTTTCTCCTTTCAAATTTAGTAATATATACAGGAGAAGGGGTTACTAGCCCCTTGCTCCCGGCATTTTAGTCGCCCTCTTACGACACGCATGGCTTACAGAGGAAGAATTCTGTTCCACTTCCCCATGGAGATAAGAGGAAATAAACAAGAACAAGAATTAGAAAGAAAATAGAAGAAAACCCAGAGGGGTGTGTGTATATATATGCTTGTACATGTATGTGTAGTGTGACCTAAGTGTAAGTAGAAGTAGCAAGACTTACCTGTAATCTTGCATATTTATGAGACAGACAAAAGACACCAGCAATCCTACCATCATGTAAAACAATTACAGGCTTTCGTTTTACACTCACTTGGCAGGACGGTAGTACCTCCCTGGGCGGTTGCTGTCTACCAACCTACTACCTATTATCATCTATTATAATTATCTATCTATTTATATATTATATATATAATATATATATATATAATATATATCTATATATACACACACACACCCACCCACCACAACAGTGGACCCCCGCATAACGATGGCATCACATAGCCTATTATTTCGCATTCCGCTTCCTATAATGCAAAATTTTGCCTTCACATACCGCTTAAAAAACCGCTTACCGATTTCGTCCGAGACGCGTCCAATGTGCGGCCTGAGCCCACGCTCACCTGTTCCGCGGGGGCATTGTTTACAGCCCGCCTCCGCGGTAACATCCAGCCATACAATCGGCAATATTTCGTATTATTACCGTGTTTTCGGTGCTTTTTTCTGGAAAATTTCAGAGCCATAGGGCCCCACGAACGCTACTAGGTGCCAACCCTACAGCATTAAGAGGTGGGCATTACAATAGAGTGAAGAAAAAAGCTCATGAACAGTATGAAAAGAGGAGTTGCATGTCCGACTGGCCAGGTTGTATAATAAAAACCCCAATCACCCATCGCACTATTGTGGATATCAGCTGCTGCTGCTGCAGCTGCCTGTCAGCTGCTGACTGCTGCTGTCGCACCGTTTGTTGGGTGTGGTTATTGAGGGAATTCCAAGACAAACAATTAACCCCAGAGGGATTTGCCACCAGGATAACCCAAAACAGTCAGTAGTCATCGAGACTGTCAAACATATGTCCATTGGGGACCTTAATCTTGTCTCCAGGATGGCAACCAACAAGTCGACTAACACCCAGGGAACAGGGAAAAAATGGCCTGGAACTAGTGACTCATATTGGTGAATTTTAAAGCACGCAAAGGGTTGGTTTGAGAGAATTAAGAATCGTAGTGGCATACACAGTGTGATAAGGCCTGTTTGGAAGAAAATGCCAAACAGGACCTAAAGTACTCAGGAGGAAAAGGCACTCCCAGGACCACAGGTATCCAGTCATTGCTGCATCTCATACAAGGTAAGGTTCATTTATTCTATCATTTGAGTAGCCTAGTACATGCACAATATATTACTGTGCATGGTACTTACTTACTATTGTGCATGTATCCTTTCTTTGTGTGTGTGGAAAATGATATTTCATGTAGAAAAATTTTTTTTTCATACTTTGGGTGTCTTGACGGATTTAATTTTATTTCCATATTTTTATGGGGAAAATTCCTTCACATAAACGATTTTTCGCTAACAATTACCCCTATTGCAGGATTAAAATCGTTAAAACCGGGGGTCCACTTTGTATTTAAATATTTATATATACTATCTATCTATCTTGCTACTCCAGCTTACCCTTTGGTCCCACTTCACTGGCCTGTACATGCAATAAATCTATATATACATCTCGGTTTTTCTCCTTTTTCTAAAGCTCTTGCTCTTTTTTCTGTATTTTACTATTGTCATGGGGAAGTGGGAGGAAAAGAATCTTTTTTCGTAAGCCAGGCGTGTCGTATTGAGGCGACTAAAATGCCGGGAGCAAATGGGCTAGTAACCCCTTCTCCTGTAGGCATATTACTAAAAAAGAGAAGGAATAAAAACTTATAAACTGGGATGCTTGAATGTGCGTGGATGTAGTGCAGATGACAAGAACCAGATGATTTGTGATGTTACGAATGAAAAGAAGTTGGATGTCCTGGCCTAAGCAAAAACAAAGCTGAAGGGGGTCGGGGAGTTTCGGTGGGGGAAAATTAAAAAAAAGAAATAATAAATAAAAAATAAATATAAAAAAAAAAAAAAAAAAAAAAAAAAAAAACTAAAAAAAAAAAAAAAAAAAAAAAAATAAGCCAAATAAAAAAAAAAAAAAAAAAAAAATAAAAAAAAAAAAATAAAAAATATAAAAAAAAAAAAAAAAAAAAAAAAAAAAAAAAAAAAATAAAAAAAAAAAAAAAAAAAAAACATAAAAAATAAAAAAATAAAAAAAAAAAAAAAAAAAAAATAAAATGGGATTAAAATCTGGAGTATTGGAGAGTTAGAGCAAAAGGAAGGGGTCGCAGTAATCATGAAGGATAGTTATGGAAGGAGAAAAGGGAGAATATGAATGTGTAAATTCCAAGGAAATATGTGGATTACAGTATTATTTAAAGGTTGGTTGCGAACAGTGGGTTCATTAATAAGCGTGTATTGCACAAGGAAGAAGAAGAGGAAAGTAGAGGAGAGAAGAGAGATTTTGGGAGATGTTAAGTGATGTATAGGAGCCTTTGAACCAAGTGAGAGAGTATTGTGGTAGGGGACTTGAATGCTAAAGGTAGGAGATACTTTTAGAGGAGGGTGTGGTAGGTAAGTTTGGGGTGCCAGTGTAAATGTAATGGGGAGCCCTTGATTGAAACTTATGTATAGGAAAGGGATTTAGTTACAGGTAAGACATGTAATCCGAAAAAAGAGGATAATAGAATACAAGATATGATGTAGGACGAAATGGACAGTCGTTTGTTGGATTAGGATTGGTAGAATAAAGGACTGTTAAGTTAGACTTTCAGGAGTACATGTTTATAGAGGGGCACGATAATCAGATCACTTTCTAGTTTGTAGCTACCCTGAGAGTAAAAGGTAGAAGGGATGACAAGGAGAAATAGATGCTCAGGGAAGAGAGAGGTGAAGGATTATAAACTAAAAGAGGAGGCAGTTAGGGTAAGATATAAACAGCTATAGGGGATAGATGGGCTAATGAGAGCATAGGCAATGGGGTCGAAGAGGTCTGGGGTAGGTTTAAAAACTGTGTGTTGGGGAGTGTTCAGCAGAAGTTTGTGGTTACAGGAAGGTGGGTGCGGGAGGGAAGAGGAGTGATTGGTGGAATGATGATGTAAAAACAGCGTCTAAGGTAGAGAAAGGTTTTTATTAGCTATTGAGAAGGTTTTTAAAAGTCGAAGTGATGCAAGGAGGGAAGAGTATCTGGGAAAACGAGAGAGGTTAGAGAGGTGGTGAAGGCAAGTAAAAAGAGGAGCAAATGAGAGAGTGGGTGAGATGTTATCAACACATTTAGTTGGAAAATAAGACAAGTTTTCGAGTGAGATAAAACAAGTTAAGGAAGCCTAGAGAACAATGGATTTGGTCAGTTAAAAAAATAGGAGAGGAGAGTTATTAAATGGAGAGTAGAAAGGTGATGGGAAGATGGAGGGAATATTTTTGAGGAATTGTTTAAAACCTTTGAGGGTTTCGGAGTACTAGTATGGCTTACGACCCAGGGTTTTTGACGTACTAGTACGCCTAAAATTTCGCGCCCTCAAATCTAGTGGGGGACAGCTGGTGGCCTTTCATATTGGAAAGAATGGGTCTATGTGGTCAGTGTGCACGGTCTAAAAACAATCCTGCAAGCACCA